GCCCGGGCAGGGCGACCCCTCCTCTTCAATCTCAATCCAAAACAGCCGTTTGCATACGTGATTGAAGGTTTAGCGCTCGTCGCAGTGGAAACAGAGCCTTTGTTCTTTTCTCTTTTGAAGTTCTGCTGGAGTGAATCGCCGAACTGGGACCTCAGGTTTGGAGTGCGCCTTGCTCCCCCCCTCAGAATTTTGAGTATTCAAATTAGGGCTACCCCTGGAAAATGGGTTGGGCTTGTAGTCATTAGCCCATTTCTTCCATTCCTGATGTTTTCCCTCATAGATCCGAGCCAAGGAAATGGTAGAGGAAAGTGTAGTTAGGTTTTGGGCCCGCACGTCAGCTCGTAAGTGTTCCTTGAGCCCACTGATGAAACAGGTTGTCTCCTGTTTGTCCGTCAACGCCCTAGCCTTGCCCAACAACCACTCGAATCGGCTTTGATAATCCCTCACCGTTGAGTTCTGTCTGAGTTTACACAGCTCACCAAATCCATCTTCGTACGGGGCTGTACCAAAGCGTAACATCAACTCCGATTTGAACTCCTCCTAGCTAAGCTGTTCCTTGAGCGCCTTCTTCCTCTGGATCCAAATCTGGGCGTCTCCCTCTAGGTGATATGAAGCTATCTGCACCTGCTCAGTTTTCACCGTGCCCTGAAACACAAAATATTGCTCCGCCCGGCACAACCAAATCGTGGGATCATCTTGTCCATCATACCGTAGGAAGTCCGATCTCACCGGTTTTGTCTGAACCACTCCTATCGACATCTCCCCGACAGTTCCCGGTCTGGCCTCCCGCTGATTGGATGCAGAAGCCTCATCTCGAGCGTGCATCATCTGGAAGAAATCGGTCATCTGCTTCAACATCTTCTCTTACCCCATGCTAAGAGAGGCGACTTGCTACTTAAGGCGCTGGAAACGTTGGTCGTCGGCCGGCCATGTCTAGCTCTGATACCAAGTTGTTATCGACCCCCGCCTCCACGACTCCTCGACCACGGCCTCGCCAGTTCCTAGCTATGTTGACAGAAGAAATGGCGTGAGATAGACACAAAGTAACAGAGAATTCTCAATAGAATGAAATTGGTATATTGCATAACCCATCCGAACTTCTTTGGAATCCTAATTCGGTTATAACCGTTTCTAGGGATGCATAATTGAAAACAGAAAATAACAACAATTTGGGACTTCATCCCCTCTCGTACGAGTCTACAATAAGGAAAGAAAGAAAAAAAACTTGTTTGGTTGGGGGATTCGTACCCTGATAATATACCAAATCGAAGCTCTTTTTGAATTCAACAATCATGGCAGGGCATAGCCTGCCAACTCAATTTTTCAGGCCAAAATTCACTTGTTTTCATCAGTTTCGGAGGAAAAAATCAGAGAATTGTGAATGAAAACGGCCATAACTTTTTATCTAGATATCGTTACTAGGCCTCTAATATACCAAATCGAAGCTAGTTTTGAGCTCTACAATCATGGCAGGTCATAGCCCGTCAACCCAATATTTCAGGCCAAAATTCACTTGTTTTCATCAGTTTCGGAGGAAAAAAATCAAAGAACAGTGACTGAAAACAGATATAACTTTTAATCTACAAATCGTTACTGGGCCAATAATATTCCAAATCAAAGAACTTTTCAAGCTCTACAATCATGGCAGGGCGCAGCCTTCCAACCCAATTTTTCGGGCCAAAATTCACTTGTTTTCATCAGTTTCGGAGGAAAAAAAACGGAGAACTGTGACTGAAAACGGGCATAACTTTTTATCTAGAAACCGTAATATACCAAATCGAAGCTATTTTTGAGCTCTACAATCATGGCAGGGCATAGCCCACCAACCCAATTTTTCAGGCTAAAATTCACTTGTTTTCATCAGTTTGAGAGGAAAAAAATCGAAGAACTGTGACTGAAAACGCCCATAACTTTTTATCTAAAAATCGTTACTAGGCCTATAATATACCAAATCGAAGTTATTTTTGAGCTCTACAATCATGGCAGGTCATAGCCCGCCAACCCAATTTTTCAGGCCAAAATTGACTTGTTTTCATCAATTTTGGAGGAAAAAAATCGGAGAACTGTGAATGAAAATGGGCATAACTTTTTATCTAGATATCGTTACTGAGCCTATAATATACCAAATCGAAGCTATTTTTGAGCTCTACAGTCATAGCAGGGCATAGCCCCCAACTCAATTTATCGGGCCAAAATTCACTTGTTTTCATCAGTTTCGGAGGAAAAAAATTAGAGAACTGTGACTGAAAACGCCCATAACTTTTTATCTAAAAATCGTTATTGGGCCTATAATATACAAAATCGAAGCTATTTTTGAGCTCTACAATCATGGCAGGTCATAGCCCGCCAACCCAATTTTTCAGGCCAAAATTGACTTGTTTTCATCAGTTTTGGAGGAAAAAAACCGGAGAACTGTGAATGAAAATGGGCATAACTTTTTATCTAGATATCGTTATGAGCCTATAATATACCAAATCGAAGCTATTTTTGAGCTCTACAGTCATGGCAGGGCATAGCCCCCAACTCAATTTTTCGGGCCAAAATTCACTTGTTTTCATCTGTTCCGGAGGAAAAAAATTAGAGAACTGTGACTGAAAACGCCCATAACTTTTTATCGAAAAATCGTTACTGGGCCTATAATATACCAAATTGAAGCTATTTTTGAGCTCTACAATCATGGCAGGTCATACCCCGCCAACCCAATTTTTCAGGCTAAAATTCACTTATTTTCATCAGTTTGAGAGGAAAAAAATCGAAGAACTGTGACTGAAAATGACCATAAATTTTTATCTACAAATCGTTACTGGGCCTATAATATTCCAAATCAAAGCTCTTTTTGAGATCTACAATCATGGCAGGGCATAGCCCTTCAACTCAATTTTTCGGGCAAAAATTCACTTGTTTTCATCAATTTCAGAGGAAAAAAATCAATGAACTTTGACAGAAAACGGCCATAACTTTTTATCTATAAATCGTTACTGGGACTATAATATACCAAATCGAAGCTCTTTTCGAGCTCAACAATCATGGCAGGGCGTAGCCCGCCAACCCAATTTTTCGGGCCAAAATTCACTTGTGTTCATCAGTTTCGGAGGAAAAAAATTAGAGAACGATGAATGAAAACGGCCATAACTTTTTATCTAGACATCATTACTGGGCCTATAATATGCCAAATCGAAGCTATTTTTGAGCTCTACAATCATGGCAGGGTATAGCCCACCAACCTAATTTTTCATGCTAAAATTCACTTGTTTTCCACAATTTGAGAGGAAAAAAATTGAAGAACTATGACTGAAAACGACCATAAATTTTTATCTACAAATTGTTACTGGGCCTATAATATACCAAATCAAAGCCCCTTTTCAGCTCTACAATCATGGCAGGGCAATGCCCTCCAACCCAATTTTTCGGGCCAAAATACACTAGCTTTCATCAGTTTCGGAGGAAAAAAATCAGAGAACTGTGACTAAAAGCGGCCATAACGTTTTATCTACAAATCCTTACTAGGCCTATAATATACCAAATCAAACCTCTTTTCGAGGTCTACAATCATGGCAGGGCATAGCCCTCCAACCCAAATTTTTGGGCCAAAATTCAATTGTTTTCATCAGTTTCGGAGGAAAAAAATCGGATAACTTTGACTGAAAACTGCCATAACTTTTTATCTACAAAACGTTACAGAGCCTATAATATACCAAATCGAAGCTCTTTTCGAGCTCAAGAATCATGGCAGGGCGTAGCCCACCAACTCAATTTTACGGGCCAAAATTCACTT